GGGAGGTTAAGTTGAAAAATTTGAGTGTGTCCCGATGATCCACGATTCGACAGAAAGAGAATTGTTGATTTATCGATCCAATAAAACTGAAAAGTACAATAATCGTTTATCACATCATATCTTCAAGCAACTCTTCATATTTTACCTGTTGATCATGAGTACCCCATTTCGGGCGCGTCAGTTGAACTGTTTTCGGTTCCATTGGATTACTCATATCAACCCAATGTAGTGTTGTTGACGATCCATTAAAGTCCGGCATATGAAATTGTCTTCGTAGGTAAACGATTTTTGAACTATCACCTGGACAAAATCTCGGCCATGATAATCGATCCATTAGAATGTTATCTGTTGGAGTTAAATCATGTTTCTGCTCAAGTTGTCGATAGTAATCATAATTTGATTGATAATCACTCGCATTCCATTCGGCAGGTTGTGGTTGTGGATCTGGACAAGATTTCTTTTTGGTAAGACCAACAATCAAGCACGGAATTAAGGCAAGTAGCGCACCGATCAGAAAGAATACCAACCAAAAAAGATACTAAAAATCTTATGAAAATAAAAAACGTGATGAATTTTAAATATAAACACACTTTTTTACGTCCGGAATTTGATTCTAGCCAACTCATGTTTTTCTTTTTATCGAGGAACGATGAAAAGCAGCACGTATTGTTAAAGTGTTCACTTACACAATGAAGATTTACGATAAAGTTGTCTCCATTTTATTACGGTTTAGGTCAATACAAAACTTATCTTCGAAAGAAAAGAAAAAAAAAAGATAAGAAGATGTATAATAAAAAAAAGGTTATATCAATACACGTATCACACGCCGTCAACATTTAAATATCACTCTCTTTTTTAAATAAAAGAATATCTGCATCTTGACAGTGAAGGTGAAGCGTGGGACGGTATGGCTCAAACATGTTGGTTTTGTTCTCGAATGCAAGACATGAAACTAAAAACTGATGTGATTTTCTCATTTCACTGAGTATTCGTCATATAAAACAATGAGCCAAGTTCCCATTTTGTTTGTAAGCCACTAGTCAGCCAAATAAGCGGTTAGAGAGAGAGACAATTTTCTTGCCAAAGAGCGCTCTCCTTTTGGCTGGCTGGTGGCTTACAAGCAAAATGGGTACATGGCTCATTTCCAATTTATATATATGTTTACATCAACTCCTGTGACAAGAAGGATGGTTTTTTTATTTCATAATTCTTTGTAGACTAAGTTGTATGCATAATAGTCAGTCTATTAACTAGAGTAGAAATACTTTCACCCCGCGTTTGACGTATGATTCTCTACTTTTCTCGTATGCATTACAGCATTTTTTCCAGGTCTCCAACCATCGTGTGCTTTCACTCATGATTGACACCATTCTCAGAAAGATATTTCATCATAACTACCTAACGATGACTCATTTCACATCTTTGTTTCCATTATTTCTGTTTACATAAATCAAAGATTTCATTCTTCTTTTTGGTTTCCTCCAACATAATAATGAATATAACTCAAAACATGACGGATGGTTTTCTTTCTACTGCCGTATGACATATGCTATTTAGTCGACAGTAGATGATTCAAATCCCTTTATCAGACAAACTCAATAGATCGAAGCAATTTCAACTCAATTCTCGGCTACACTGACAAAACAATGACTGTTACTGCACAGAATATTTTCGATAATTTAAAAGCAGCTCATCCCGAAGATAGTCTTTTGGTTGACAAATGCACAAAATCAGGTCGAGCATCCAGCTAGCTTTGGTACTTGACTATTAAATATTGATTTAAATGACGATGAAGTGTTAGCAGCATACAAACTATCAGAATCTTCCGGGATGTGGATCAATGAAGCCGAAATGAAATCAAAAGCATTTCCATTTGTTTACAAAGCAAGAAGCGTAACGGATAGGGAAAAAATACGCACTATTCTTAAAGTTAACTTGAAAGTTGCATTCCCAAATCGCTACGTAGATGTTTTTTTTACTCGGAAGCGATTAGAGCCGAAACAATAGAAGTAAAGGTGCTGCTGCCTTTAAAAGTGAATATGGGTCTGACGTTGATATTGTTTTAAGTTAAATGTTTTGCCAGTCTATACAATTCAACATGATACCTGTGTGTTTCAGTTACACTTAATCTTGAATTTTATTTTACTTTTTTTGTGAAATACAGAAGAGTTTTTACTCTTGGTAATGTTCTTATCAATAGCAGCACTGTTAGCACGCAGAAAATTTTCTCTCGTCAGGTGAATAGATCTGATTTTTACGTGTATCAATAATCTTTTACCATTAAAATACATACGAGTCAAAAGACTTGTTTATCGATCATATAATTGTGTATATTCATTCATTTTTATATAAATACGTCGTAAGCTGTGCATCTACACTCTCACTTAAATATTCGATTGGGGTTTTATAATCGTTCTGATGACCGGTTTTGTCGGATTAAAGTAGCACATATATGTGATTTACTGTTATGTTCTTGTCACATGTGATATTTGATTGAAAGATCAACGAGCATTGTAAACCGATAATTGATGGCTACTAATAAGGTCTTATTTGTTATTTCTTAGCAAGTTGTCTAACTTTAACATCATGTACTGTCGACTTCATTAAAGATCTGCTTGTATTTCAATTTGTTTGACAATACTGCATTCATTTTGATGAAAACATTTTCTTTTATATAATTCTCACAGTAGACGAGTTCGAACTACTCGAGATAAAAATTGATAAAAACTCTGATTTAAAATTATTGTTTATAGTTTTATATTTACATTTAGCAATAATATGGTTCGTTTCATTCTTTTGATAAAATATTGGGTGGAGCAGTTATTCTCTCTCTCTCGTCTGTTGTCATAGGCAAACTATAATTTTGTATTGCGAATCGAGCATGTTGTCAAAATCAACATTACGTTTATTATAAAAACACGATCACATAAAGTGGAAAGTTCCAACATCTTGTCTAAAGTATTTTTTTAGGGTGGGCGATATACGTTCCATTCGGGTCGTTACTTCCGCACCAATTTGTTTATAAAATATGTGACGGTAGCAATTTTTGTCATTCAAATCATTTTAGAGTTTATTCAATATTGGCTGGTAAATATTTCAGATTTATTTTCGAACTGAAACCGATGATGCGTATTGATTCAATTGTCACCATATTAATAATCGTCATACTCATGATCAGTGCTGTTGTGGGCGCGTCGCTCAATTCAACAAACAACACTGTAGATTTATCGGGTGACAGAGACATAGCTGTCAGTCAGTCTCTGAGAAATCTGTCGACAGTAAGCAGCGAGAATACATCGCCATCATATGCCATTTATATCGGTGGAGGTGCGGGTGGAATTGTCGGTTTCATTGGCCTGGTTTGCTTGATTTACTGCTGCTGCCGCTGCTGAGATAGAATTTTTTATCCTATTCAAGAACATTTTTTTTTATATATCTACTCGAGAAAAAATTTCAAAGCGAATTCATATTGTAATAGCATTGCATTCTTCTCCCAGACTACAATCGAATACATGAACGTTCTACTGAGTGAAATTTGTTGTATGACGAATGAGTTCTAAACCTATAGAATATTTATTGTGCGTTACAATAAAATGATGGCCGGCTAATTTATTATCCGTTAATACAGTTGCTCCAAGATTCGCTCTGTGGCAATTTTTCATTTTTTTTCATTTGAAGAAAACATCCCAGTGACATACTTTTCTGTGCTATATGGTGATTCGGTTTTATTTCTATTATAAAAAGCATGTGAATCGTGCCTTACGTTTCAGAGAACTTCTATATAACGAGGAAAATATCGTTTTCCACATAGATTTTACTTTAAATCATATCGACTGGTTGACTCGTCATCTATAATCCTAAAATGAAATTTCAGTCGAAGAATGGTGACGTTTTTACTATCGATGGAGGGATCCTTCGACGATCACAAGCACTTGAGAACTTCTTTGAAAGTAAGAACAGTCATATATCACATTCATAATGATTCTGACTCAATTCGTTCTTCACGGTATACTTGTAGTATCTGGAGATGATGATACGATCCCATTTGCCGAATGTCAGCTTATCTAAGATATCAGCTATAAACTCTTATTTATATATAGGTAATCGAATGGATGAAGTATCCTACGAACAGTATTCCACCATCCGTAGAAATTAATAATGACGATCGTGTACAAAACTGTGAAGGATCATCTGAATGGAATGCACAAACTCTATTGGATACGACATGTCGACTGATAGCTGGCATGGTTAAAAATAAATTAACGGAAGAAATGCGTCGTATATTTCGTGTCAAGTCAAATGCGATATCGAACAAAGTTCGTTTTTTCGTAAATGCTTTTCTCACAAACACTCACAATGGTATTTTCATAGGAAACAGAAGTGCTGATTGCAAACAGCTTGACATCATAAAAGCAAAACCGGAAGCGGGTTATTGCGCTAATTCAGAATTTTTACTAAACGCTCACATCTTCAGTTGAAATCTATCGATCTAACAGATAAGTCCACAATAAAGTACAATATTCACAAAATACTTCTGTATTCTTCGAAAAGCGAGAATATACAGCTGGATTATATATGTATTAAAAAATTTAAGAGACAAACGAGTTGAATAGATACTGATAATCATGATTAGACACCATGGATTTCAATTTAAATCGTAGCAGGATCAAAATTATGCTTGTAATCATTCGAAGCCGTGATATAATCGACGAATTTCTCCTTTAGTACTCTATGAAATCGAAATGATGCAAGCAGTAGCACACAAGAGAACATTTACCGGTTACTTCCATCGTCGAGTTTACCCCAATGAGATTCCCAATTGGCAGTCGATGGAGTCCATGAGTCGTCCGATGGATTAGTTTTCGAAGTAATCCAATGGTTATATTTATTCAAACGATTGAATATTCGTTCAGCTTGTTCGCGTGATATGAAATCTATATAAAATCATAGTAAAATAAGAGGAAGAGATGAGTAATGAGCATAGCAATACCAGATGGTGAATTATTCTGATCCAGAACGTAATTAAATCGATCGAGAAATGAAATACCATTTGGTGATATACCCTCATGATGAGATAGCATCAAATATGCTTCGGCGAATTCTATTCATAGGGAAAAGATGACTTAGGTATAATTAATGCTAATTATTTCGTCTCTTTTGTACCTTCGAATGACAATAATCCTAAAAGCGGATTAAATAAAGCAATAGTTTGAGAAAAGAAGAGAATTATTCCTTTACCTGTTCCGTCGAAATCGTATGTTTCGAAGACATAATCTGACAATCTGTTGAGTTCGTTTTCGCTAAACATCGGTGGTAGAGCGCTGGGAAGGCTGCTTGCTTGAGTATTGATAAACATTTTCTTGTACAAATGACGGAATTCCCTCTTGTCCATTTTATTGTCATTTCCGGTTGTTGTCGCAAATTCCTCATGAATCTTCTCAACCATTGAGAGAGGAACGCCTATAGTTGGAGCAGTAAATTGAGTAGTAATTACGAAGAAAATGACGAATAGTTACCAGTTACATCACTGAACCGAACTAAATCCCACTCCGAGAATGGCTTCTTCGAGCTACTACTACCCATTGGCACGATAAAACTTGTATTCTAAGGGCAACACGTGCTATACTATAGCGCAAAGTATTGTTCTTCTCTCTGCACTCTTTTTTTCTTTTCTCCTTTCCGTTTTTTCCCAAGAGAGAGAGATGATTCAATGCAATTCATCGCTTCATTCCTAATTGAATCGGCCAGAATAAGAAAAAATGAACGACTTTTTTATCGTTCTACCCTTTTGCATGAACTTAAAAATAGTTAAGAGACTAGAAGTAGAAAAAGAGCGCAGGATAATTCGGCACACAAAAAAATCACTGTAAAAGAAGACATTGTTGTGATAAGGATAAAATTGTAAACATGAAACAATGAAATACTAGTACAAAGAAGAGAAAGTGAAAAATGATCTATTAAAACATATAGCTTCGTTTATCTCGCTCGTCCAACATAGAAAACGAAAGATGTCGCAATGATCCAGTTGCTAAAGCTTATATATGAAATTAAATGCCACAATACCATTCTGGAATGTACGCTCTCACCGAAAAACGTTCATTTGTTAGCACTATTTCACTAATTCAGTATTGATGATTTATCGATTCTCAAAATATTATATAATTCGAAATGCTGGGTTAATAAATATTCGTCCTTGATGCTTTTCTCGTATACATGAATGAAATGGTACATGTTCACAAGTATATTTGCAAGATTATATTATAGTTAGAGTACAGTAATTTAGCATAGAGTGTCATATATTCTTTTCCATCGCGGCCATGCCATGCGTTCGGCTCTTTCTTCATCAATGAGCTGTTGAGTGTCAATTTGCCGTCTTCCCGTATCCAAGTCGATAGTGCTAGGTCGCATAAATGGAGTTTTTTTCCATACTTTCCATACTATATAGAAAACAAGAATGAATGGTACAGCAATATATGCTTGGAAAAATTCTTCTGCGTTGGGACTGGAATCGAGTGGAAATACAGCTAGATAAAATTGAGCAACAAGACAGAGAATATTAAGTACGAGACCTATTATACTGCCCCAGACACCAAATGGTGCCAAAAAGGCCAGTTCGTCCAATGTGTGACCTTGTGCTTTCCACGCCAGTCGAAACATAATATGACAGGCACAGATGGAACCCCATGTGAAGAACGAGGATAAACCCCCCATAGCCAACAGCCAATGGAATACTTTTGAGCCAACTTCCGCACAGTTGATGTAAGCGACAAACCCAAAAAGCATCGACAAGACAACAGCGGAGAGTGGCCGACCTTTACGGTCGATATAAGTGAATATCTTCGGCGCTTGACCATTCTCAGCTAGTGCACATAGCGTCCGAGATGCACCATAAACTGAAGAGTTACCGACAGAGAGTACGGCACAAAGAATCAGAGCATTGAATATCGAAGGCAAAACTGAGATGCCTGCGTCTTCGATGGCAATAACGAAGGGTGACGCAGAAGCATCGTAATCTGAAGATTTATTCAACAGACGTGGAGATGTATAAGGTATCAAACAACCAATAAGCGTTAATGATCCAATATAAAAAATCAAAATTCTCCAAAAGACTTGTTTTGTTGCTTGTGGAATCGTCTTTCTAGGATTATCTGCCTCAGCTGCAGCTAAACCAACGAGTTCAGTGCCGGAAAAGGCAAACGCAGCAACAACGAATGTGGAACAAATACCTTTGAAACCATTAGCAAAGGCACCTGGATCACGCCAATATTTTCCTCCCAAATATTCATGTTTAGGACCACCACCAAAGACTAAAACGATACCAAGAATAATAAAACCAACCACACCAATCACCTTGATTAGGGATATGACGAATTCGATCTCTCCATATCCGCGTACGCCGAATAAATTGATAATGAGAAGCGCAATCAAGAAGATAGTGATCCATACAGCAATATTAATCGAAGTCGTCCAATAATTAATAACCAGTCCAGCCGCTGTTAGCTCGAGTGGCATGATAAGTAGCCAACCAATAGCATAGTTCCATCCCATAGCAAAACCCCAGGCAGGATCGAGAAAACGAGAGCTATGTGCAGCAAATGAGCCAGAAACAGGAAATACAACACTGAGTTCACCAAGTGCCATACAAACATTGAAGAGCATGACACCGATGATAGAAAAATCGAGAATCAGTGCACCGGGACCACTGGATGCTAGAGCTAAGCCTGAACCAACAAACAGACCAGTACCAATGGATCCACCAATGGCAATCATCTGCAAATGTCGACTTTTTAACTTTCGTTGCAAACCATTGCTTTCTTGTTTGACTTCATCGTTGTGATCCTCTTCGGAAGTTGTTACCTTCATTTCGTACGAAGCACTTGTAGAAGATGGTGCTCGTTTAAACGAGTCAAACATTCGCTGGCATAGGTTTCCTTTTTCGTTCGTGTAGGTCGTTGGAATAATTCGAGTTTGCATATCGTCGTTAACATCCGTCCAGTATTCGTCCAGGTTTGTGGCTGATGACATATTTGTCTTGCTTGATCGTAATACAACTTTCAAAAAGGAAGAAATGAAAAGACTAGAATCAACTTTGAAAATCAACACTCTTGTTTCGCTAATATTCTTCTGCTTAATTTCGTACTTTTACTTGAATATCCAGTGAATATATTTATTACTTTCTCCTTTTTGATCCGCCTTGAAATTGTGTTATGACACAGTGCGTATGATGCGATTTGAGAAGAAAACGATGTATTGACACGTGTTTTTCTTTCTGCGTTTCTAATCAATAGAGCGAAGCGTTACAATTTTTGACAAGACTTGATTAGTCAGAAAGGAAAAAGAAGTATTTTTTTTATATAAAGTTGACGATTTACCATAAGAAGGCTAAAAATAAAACAGAAAAAAACTAATCTGCTTAAAATAGTACTGTTTATTGTGAACAGCTGTTTTCGAATTAGATATACTTCATAAAAGTAATTTACGTAGTGTGCGACAAAAACAACTCAATACAGTCAGAAAGAATATTAAAGTTCTTTACATCATATGTAAAAGAAGACTGAACTGATATGTTATAACATCTGTGAATTTTTAATGTATACTATTCAAGTTCTACTTACCATTTTATCAGGTTTTCTACTCATCTCTCCTAAAGTGTTCATCATGAATTGATGAAACGCTTTATAGGGTACTGCTCTTTCGTTATTAACACTTTGTCTTTCTCCTTGATTTTACTATTTTCAGATATACCGCTGTGAAGATGCGGAGACAATCGGGGAGACTTTATCCACTTCAAATAGTATTTGAAGCATAAGTGAAGTATTTCATTTCTGAAACAGCGCTTTCCTACTTTGTCATAATCTCATTCTGCTTCGAATCCAGTATCAAATCGCTTTCGATAGCGATGCACTGTTACTACGTAGAATCATATGATAGTGTGACATGCACTGGTGTATAATATCAATCGGTGTGAAGTGTGAATTCATGTTACTCATAAGATCCAATACGTTCGCGATTGGTTGCGATCGATTTTTGTAGATCGGATAAATGATACATGCGATTCGAACTTATAAAAGAAGACCACTAAACTGCGGAAAATATTGCATTAGGCGCACTCAGTCGCTGTAAATTTGTCAGATAATTCCAATTTGAATAAATCAAACTCCTTGTGTTGTGAACTGTAAACTATATAGTCTAAGTGAAAATTACCGATTATGAATTTTCCACAATATCTTTAGAATGATTCACAACTGATAGCATGAAATATATACACAGTGTATGTATTACACAATGGGAATGTGCTCGTGACTGGTAGATACAGTAGTGTTAGTGGCTCTTTGAATACTGCAGGAATATCCAATTAATCTTGACTGAACGATGTGCTCTCGTGCACAGTTCATGAATTCTTACGCGCTATAACAAACGTTCTATAAAGGAAAAGATGATCTTGAACTTTGGTTGTTTTTCGATGTGCAACCAGGAAGTGTTTATATATACAACTATTTCTGTGCTTACTAAAAAGTTAATGGATTTCTTTCCGCTTTACTGCAAATATTGGACAGATGATTTCCTTCATTGTGCAAGACATCTATTCATGTGATGAACGAAAGCATAAAACTACCAGATAAAAAACATCTATAGTATCTTCTAAGTGGTCTATTTAAGCTCTCATTGGTGAACTACGCTTTCTTGACAAACTTGACAGTAAGAGAGCAAAAGAAAGTGGATATACATGCGACCGGCACACTCTTGTTAACAAACAAATATAAGATCAAATCGTTATTGTTTTCCCTCAAGCGAAAGTATTTTTTGTTGTTCTAGGAAATTTCTTTTTCTTTGTCTCAATCTGCTCGTGTTCCTTTGAGATTCTTTTTCAGGTACACTGACACATTTATTCGAATCATCATGATTGAATCGTGTTGGCTAAGGATAATCTTCTTTCAATATCTTTTTGGGAATGTTCGAACCAATTGGCCATCGTTGAACTCATCTAATATTGATTTGTTGGGTATCTTTCCCTACATAGCCAATCAATCCGAGCCGACACAATGGTCAATTCAATCTCATGCGATGTTCAAATCAGCTATTCTACTTTCTCATCAATACGATATACGAATCGGAGGAGAACTGGTCGGCTATGAAACAATCGAAAGCAAGGGCGATGTTGTTACTGCTTTCGGTGACACGTGTGAATTTGTTTCGAATTCAACAATAATTGGTATCGTCGGACCATCATTCTCACGCGAATCCCAATATCTCGGTCCACTCCTTGGAAAAATCGGTATTCCATTCATTTCATATAGTTCAACTGATCCGCAACTATCCGATCGACATACATATTCGTCGTTTTACCGATTAGTTCCATCGGATAGCATCGCTGCATCTGCAATAGCTGACCTATTCCTTCAGTACGAGTGGACAGCTGGAATAATCATATGCCAAAGTGATGTTTTCGGATCGAACGGTGCCAAATCAATTTCCGATGAATTCACACGGAGAAAGCTAAGCATTACCACAACAGTACAATTTGATATAAACACGTACGAAATCAAAGGTGATTTAACGTCAATTCTGACCTTTAGCTCAACACGAATTATACTCGTATGGGCTGAACCATTCTATATAAATATGATCTTGGCAGAAGCACTTGAGAGGAATCTCGTCGGTCCACAATTCCTCTGGATATTAAGTACACCAATTTCATTAAACTACTTCAATAAAACATTCAACGAAAATCTGAATGGAATATTTGTTATCGAGTCCGTTACTGGCAATGTGGTCAATGCGCCAACCAACGACACTTTATTGAAGTCTGCATATGAAATTTGGCAAAGATACGAACCAGAGACGTTTCCTGGCTCACAAAATGTGAATTATTTTGCCCTGTTTGCCTTCGATGCCACGTGGACATTGATAAAAATGTATGAAAAATTCTGTTCGAACGTTTCATCATCATGCATTGAGTTTCTCAATAATGCATCCTGCTTCGATCAACACTTACAAAATTCGGACTCAATGCTCAATCTAATGAACAATATGAACTATCTCGGTGTATCAGGTTTAATTGAATTTAATGAGAATACAGCTGACCGAGTCACCGGCATTTATTATATTATAAAGAATCTACAACTATCTTCGAACGTATTGAATTATGTTCCGATTTTAGTATGGTCACACGCAACAAATTGGAATTTTTATTCGCCAACTAGTGTGATCATATGGCCAGGTAATTCTCTAATCGCACCATCCGGTTCTGCTTCGCTTCAAAATGTTCATCTACGATTAGTCGTCACCGAAACTGCACCATTCACCATGTCATCGCAATTCTTCAATGAATTTCAACAAAGTAATACGAAACTAGTTGGTTACATACCTGATCTTATCGAACTGTTGAGAGTTCAATTAGGGTTTATACCAGAGATAACATTAATAGCAAACAAAACATTCAATGAAATTATTGACTTAGTTGCCAATGATGCCTACGATCTATTTCTCGCTCAGACAACAATCACTGCTGCACGAAGCGAAAAGGTTTCATTCTCAAACTCTATCTATGATAACTCACTACGTATTCTCATCAGGAAAGAATTAAAGACTGACATTGATTTATTAACATATTTAAGATCGTTTTCTATTCAACTCTGGTTGGCTGTTCTTTGCGCGTGCATCTATGCGTCGTTGCTTTTGTGCGTATTAGAGCGACGAGAAAACGATGCATTACGACATAGATCCATTATTTCGTTAATCGCAATGAGCATTTGGTTTTCATTTGGCACACTGGTTGGTTACGGTGTCGATTTTCATGTTGTCACAGCAGCCGGACGAGTCTTAACTGTCGGATTGTACTTGTTAAGTATAGTCCTTGTCGCAGCGTACACAGCAAATCTAGCATCGGAACTGACAATTTCGAAATCGCAAGATATTATCGATGGTCTTGATGATAGTAAAAAGGGTAAATTGTCGTACAGTCGCATTGGGATACTTGTTGGANTTGACGATTAACTAAAAGATTATCAACATCCAATGGAAACTCAGTAATTTGAATTGGTTCGATGAAAGAATCGACTTTTGAGACATCATCGGGGAGGTTAAGTTGAAAAATTTGAGTGTGTCCCGATGATCCACGATTCGACAGAAAGAGAATTGTTGATTTATCGATCCAATAAAACTGAAAAGTACAATAATCGTTTATCACATCATATCTTCAAGCAATTCTTCATATTTTACCTGTTGATCATGAGTACCCCATTTCGGGCGCGTCAGTTGAACCGTTTTCGGTTCCGCTGGATTACTCATATCAACCCAATGTAGTGTTGTTGACGATCCATTAAAGTCCGGCATATGAAATTGTCTTCGTAAGTAAACGATTTTTGAACTATCACCTGGACAAAATCTCGGCCATGATAATCGATCCATTAGAATGTTATCCGTTGGAGTTAAATCATGTTTCTGCTCAAGTTGTCGATAGTAATCATAATTTGATTGATAATCACTCGCATTCCATTCGGCAGGTTGTGGTTGTGGATCGGGACAAGATTTCTTTTTGGTAAGACCAACAATCAAGCATGGAATTAAGGCAAGCAGCGCACCGATCAGAAAGAATACCAACCAAAAAAGATACTAAAAATCTTATGAAAATAAAAAACGAGATGAATTTAAAATATGAACACACTTTTTTACATCTGGAATTTGATTCTAGCCAACTCATGTTTTTCTTTTTATCGAGAGACGACGAAAAGCAGCACGTATTGTTAAAGTGTTCACTTACAAAATGAAGATTTACGATAAATTTGTCTCCATTTTATTACGGTTTAGGTCAATACAAAACTTATCTTCAAAAGAAAAGAAAAAAAAGATAAGAAGATGTATAATAAAAAAAAAGGTTATATCAATACACGTATCACACGCAGTCAACATTTAAATATCACTCTTTTTTTTTAAATAAAAGAATATATGCACCTTGACAGTGAAGGTGGAGTGTGGGACGGTATGGCTCAGACATGTTGGTTTTGTTCTCAAATGCAAGACACGAAACTAAAAACTGATGTACTTTTCTCATTTCACTGAGTATTCGTCAGATAAAACAATGAGCCAAGTTCCCATTTTGCTTGTAAACCACCAGCCATAGCCAAATAAGCGGTTAAAGAGAGAGACAATTTTCTTGTCAAAGAACGCTCTCCTCTTTTTGATCTGTATCCCTCTTCACTGTTCCATCTCTGCCCTGTAAACGAGAGACCGTTCACCATTCACCTCATCTTATTTTCTCTTTGATCTTTTTCGTGTCATTCCGCTGGATATGCGCAATCAACGCTGATATATCGATTTGACCACTTGAGCCAAACGCGTCAGAGATATTGATCAGAAGGAAGCACATGAAAAGTCACGTTTTTCGATGATTCTTTCCGGCAGAACCACGCGATAGAAATCAGTGTCAAAAAGTTGGTACAAGCATTCTAGCTAAGCGTATTTTTATTTGGGGAGACAGATCGATCTCATTGACGGAAGCACGACTAGCGATCCTGTGCTAAGTATACCAATTAAGAAAATTAATACCTTCTTTGATCGATTTGATCAAAGATGATTAAAAACAGACGAGAGAAGGAATAAAAGAATACTGCGAGATGACGGTTATACTCTCTAACGTGATCCATTTTCAGCAAAGTGACAAGTTCATCTTCTTGTTCAACCGTTGACGGCAGCTCAATCACTGAGTATTGCTACATTGGGCTTACGAGCGACGGCAGTATAGACAGTAAGTATATTTCAGCGTTGATTGCGCATATCCAGCGCAATAACATGAAAGAAGTCAAAGACGGGTGTGGATCAAAGGGAAAATAAGATGAGGTGAATGGTGAACGGCCTCTCGTTTGCAGGAAAGAGATGGAACAGTGAGGAGAGATACAGAGCAAAAGAGGAGACCACTCTTTGGCAAGAAAATTCTCTCTCTCTCTCTCTCTCTCTCTCTCTCTTTAACCGCTTATTTGGCTGGCTGGTGGCTTACAAGCAAAATGGGAACATGACTCATTTCCAATTTATGTATATGTTACATCAACTCCTGTGACAAGAAGGATGTTTTTTTTACTTCATAGTTCTTTGTAGACTAAGTTGTATGCATAATAGTCAGTCTATTAACTAGAGTAGAAATACTTTCACTCCACGTTTGGCGTATAATTCTCTACGTTTCTCGTATGCATTGCAGCATATTTTCCAGATCTCCAACCATCATGTGTTTTTACCCGTGATTGATGCCATTCGCAGCAAGAAATTTCATCATAACTACATAACGATGACTCATTTCACACCTTCGATTCCATTGTTTCTGTTTACATAAATCAAAGATTTCATGTTTTTTGGTTTCTTCCACCATAATGATGAACATGACTCATCATGACGAAAGGTTTTTTCTCTACTACCGTATGAAACATGTTATATAGCCGATAGTAGATTGTTTAAATCGCTTTATCAGACGAACTCAACAGACCAAAGCAATTTCAACTCAATTCTCGGCTACACTGACGAAATAATGGCTGTTACTGCACAGAGTATTTTCGATAATTTAAAAGCAGCTCATCCCGAAGATAATCTTGTGGTTTATAAATATACAAGACCAGGTGGAGCATCTAGCTATTTCGGTACTCAACTATTAAATATTGATTTAAATGACGACGAAGTGTTAACGGCATACAAACTGTCAGAATCTTCCGGACCGTGGATGAATGAAGCTGAAATAAAATCAAAAGCATTTCCATTTGTCTACGATACAAGAAGCGTAACAGATAATGGCAGAAGGCGCACTATTCTTAAAGTTAGCTTGAAAGTTGCATTCCCAAATCATTACGTAAATGTTTTTATATTCGGAAGCGGTTGGAGCCGAAACAATAGAAGTAAAGGTGCTGCTGCTTTTAAGAATGAATATGGGTCGGACGTTGATATTGTTTTAAGTTAAATGTTCGGCCAGGTTATACAATTCAAAATAATACCTGTGTGTTTCAGTTACACTTAATCTCGAATTTTATTTTACTTTTTTATGAAATACAGATGAGTTTTTACTCTTGATAATGTTCTTATCAATAGCAGCACTCTGTTAACACGCTGAAAATTTTCTCTCGTCAGGTGAATAGATCTGATTTTTACGTGTATTAATAATCTTTTACCTTAAAAATACATACGAATCAAAAGACTTGTTTATTGATCACATAATTCTGTATATTCATTCATTTTGATATAAATACGTCATAAGTTGCCCATCCATACTCTCACTTAAATACTCGCTTGAGATTTATAATTATTTCTGATGACCAGTTTTGTCGGATTAAAGTAGAACATATATGTGATTTACTTTTATGTTCTTCTCGCGTGTGATATTTGATTGAAAGATCAACAAGTGTTGTAAACCGATAATTGATGACTACCGATACGATCTTATTTGGTATTTCTTAGCAAGTTGTCTAACATTAACATCATGTGTCGTCGATTTCATTAAAGATCTGGTTGCATTTCTATTTGTTTGACAATATTGCATTCATTTTGATGAAAACATTTCTTATTTCATGTTATCAAAATAATGTTTTCTTCTATACAATTCTCACAGTAGGCGAGTTCGAATTATTCGAGATAACGATTGACAAAAATTCTCATTTAAAATTATTGTTAGGGCTTTATATTTACATTTGACAATAATATGGTTCGTTTCTTCTTTTGATAAAATATTGGGTGGAGCAGTTATTCTGTCTCTCTCGTCTGTTGTCATAGGCGAACTGTAATTTTGTATTGCCAATCGAGCATGTTGTCAAAGTCAACATTACGTTTATTATAAAAACACGATCATATAAAGTGGAAAGTTCCAACATCTTGTCTAAAGTATTTTTTTAGGGTGGGCGATATACTTTCCATTCGGGTCGTTACTTCCGTACCAATTCGTTTGTAAAATAGGTGACGGTAGCAATTTTTGTCATTAAAATCATTTCAGAGTTTATTCAATATTGGCTGGTAAATATTTCAGATTTGTTTTCGAGCTGAAACCGATGATGCGCATTGATTCAATTGTCACTACATTAATAATCGTCATACTCGTGATCGATGCTGTTGTGGGCGCATCACTCAATTCAACAAACAGCACTGTAGATTTATTGGATGACAGAGACATAGCTGTCAGTCAGTCTCTGAGAAATCTGTCGACAGCAAGTAGCGAGAATACATCGCCATCATATGTCATTTATATCGGTGGAGGTGCGGGTGGAATTGTCGGTTTCATTTGCCTGATTTGCTTGATTTACTGTTGCTGCTGCTGAGATAGAATTTTTTATCCTATTCAAGAACATTTGTTTTTTATATATCCACTTGAAAAAAAATTGCAAAGCGAATTCATCCTATAATAGCATTGCATTCTTCTCTTAAACTACAATCGAATACATGAACGTTCTACTGAGTGTAATTTGTTGTATGACGAATGAGTTCTAGAGGTATAGAATATTTATTGTGCTTTACAATAAAATGATGGCTGGTTAATTTATTATCCGTTGATACAGTTGCTCCAAGATTCCATCTGTGACAATTTTTCATTTTTTTTCATTTGAACAAAACATTCCCGTGACATATTTTTCTGTGCTATATGACGATACGATTTTATTTCTCTTATAAAAAGCATAGTTTTTATTTTAAATCATGTCGACTGGTTGACTTGTCATCTAATCGTAAGATGAAATTGCAATCGAAGAATGGTGACGTTTTGGCTATTGATGGAGGGATTCTTCGACGATCACAAGTACTTGAGAACTTTTTTGAAAGTAAGAGCAATCGTATATCACATTCATAATCACTCTGACTCAATTCGTCCTTCACGGTATACTTGTAGCATCTGGAGATGATGATACGATCCCATTGCCGAATGTCAGCTTATCTACTCTGAAAAAAGTAATTCTATTTGTGCAGCAAGCATCAGTGTTGTAGTAAAGCGTAGATATCAACTATAAACTCTTATTTATATATAGGTAATCGAATCGATGGAGTATCATACGAATAGTATTCCAGGATCTGTAGAAATTAATAATGACGATCGTATACAAAAGTTTTTGATTTAGTTTTGGTTTAAGTATACAAAGTCTATTGGATACGACATGCGAACTGATAGCTGGCTTGATTAAAAATAAATCACCGGAAGAAATTCGTCGTATGTTTCATGTCAAATCAAATGCGATATCGAACAAAGTTCGTTTCTTCGTAAATGCTTTTCTCACAAACACTCACAATGGTATTTTCATAGGAAACAGAAGTGTCGATTACAAACAGCTTCACATCATAAAAGCAAAACCGGAAGTGGATTATTACGTTAATACAGAATTTTTACTAAACGCTCACATTTTCAGTTGAAATCTATTTATCTAACAGATAACTACACAATAAAAGTACAATATTGACAAAATATGTATTCTTCGAAAAGCGAACATATTCAACTGGATTATATATGTATTTAAAAACTTAAGAGACAAACGAGTTGAATAGATACTGATAATGATGATTAGACACCATAGATTTCAATTTAAATCGTAGCAGGATCAAAATGATGCTTGTAATCATTCGAAGCCGTGATATAATCGACGAATTTCTCCTTTAATACACTATGAAATCGAAATGATGCAAACAGTAGCACATAAGAGAACACTTACCGGTTACTTCCATCGTCGAGTTTACCCCAATGAGATTCCCAATTGGCAGTCGACGGAGTCCATGAGTCGTCCGATGGATTAGTTTTCGAAGTAATCCAATGGTTATATTTATTCAAACGATTGAATATTCGTTCAGCTTGTTCGCGTGATATGAAATCTATATAAAATCATAGTAAAATAAGAGGAAGAGATGAGTAATGAGCATAGCAATACCAGATGGTGAATTATTCTGATCCAGAACGTAATTAAATCGATCGAGAAATGAAATACCATTTGGTGATATACCCACATGATGAGATAGCATCAAATATGCTTCGGCGAATTCTATTCATAGGGAAAAGATGACTTAAGTATAATTAACGCTAATTATTTCGTTTCTTATTCACCTTCGAATGATAATAATCCTAAAAGCGGATTAAATAAAGCAATAGTTTGAGAAAAGAAGAGAATTATTCCTTTACCTGTTCCATCGAAATCATATGTTTCGAAGACATAATCTGACAATCTGTTGAGTTCGTTTTCGCTAAACATCGGTGGTAAAGCGCTGGGAAGGCTGCTTGCTTGAGTATTGATGAACATTTTCTTGTACAAATGACGGAATTCTCTCTTGTCCATTTTATTGTCATTTCCAGTTGTTGTTGCAAATTCCTCATGAATCTTCTCAACTGTTGAGAGAGGAACGCCTATAGTTAAAGCAGTAAATTGAGTAGTAATTACGAAGAAAATGACGAATAGTTACCAGTTACATCACTGAACCGAACTAAATCCCACTCTGAGAATGGTTTCTTCGAGCTGCGACTACCCATTGGCACGATAAAAGTTGTATTCTAACGGCAACACGTGCTATTGTAGCACAAAGTGTTGTTCGTTTCTCTCGCTCTTTTTTTTCTTTCCTCCTTTCCGTTTTTTCCCAAGAGAGAGATGATTCAATGCAATTCATTGCTTCATTCTTAATTGAATCGGCCAGAATAGGAAAAAATGAACGACTTTTTCTTTATCGTTCTACCCTTTTACATGAACTTAAATATAGTTAAGAGAATAGAAGTAGAAAAAGAGCACAGGATGATTCTGCATACAATCACTGTAAAAGAAGACATTGTTGTGATAAGGATAAAATTGAAAAAAATGAAACAATGAAATACTAGTACAAAGAAGAGAAAGTGAAAAATGATCTATTGACACATATAACTTCGTTTATCTCGTTCATGCAACATAGAAAACAGAAAGATGGCGCAATGATCCAGTGGCTAAAGCTTATATATGAAATTAAATGCCACAATACCATTCTGGAATGTACGTTCTCACCGAAAAACGTTCACTTGTAAGCACTATTTCACTAATTCAGTATTGATGATTTTTAGATTCTCAAAATACTATTTAATTCGAAATTCTGGGTTAATAAATATTCGTCCTTGATGCTTTTCTCGTATACATAAATGAAATGGTACATGTTCACAAGTAGGGCCTGTACCATTATAACGACATCCACGAGTGGAATTGAGTTTATACAGAGCAGCACCACCAAACCCTGAACGAACTTCGATTAAACCACGTTCGATGGGAATTTGCTTTGTATGAACTCCGATAATTTGATTAACTAACGATTCAGAACAATAGTACTCTGGTGATTTGCTTAAATTCCATATTCGATGCCAAATATCATAATTCATTACTGAATCGGATAGAGTACGTAATGCCCATATATCATAATAGTGACCCTTGGTTGTTGCAATCATGACAGACCAGTCATTGTGAAGGTATTTAAAATTCGTCAGAAATGAAGAAGCTTGCATAGCAAACATATCAACATCGATCATGAAAATATAATCAGCTGACAAGGTATGCGCTTTGTCTAACAGCATATTACGACAATAGGCAAGACGCTCCGTACGCTCAGAAATTGACCTTGATAGTCGTCCATAGAAATAAACATGGACTCGGGACCACTGGCGAAGTTTTACAATGGTTTTGTCAGTTGAATCACTTTCGAGAATATGAATCGAAGAAGATGGATGGAAAAGATCGATGATCGGCTCGATATAGTTTCGATACGCTTCAATATGATTTTCAATGTTACGTGCACAAGAGAGAACAACTAAACGAAGTGAACGAAGTTGACGAAGAGAATCTTGATAGGACGAATTTGATATCTCTTGTGGTAGATTGGCTTGAGGATACTCACGTTCGAAAAACGAACGATTGTCAGATATAGTGTATGGTTGGCAAGTGAAGTAAACGAATGTTCTTGCTACTTTTAGTACAGAAACGATGCGTGAATAGTTCTTAGTGGCAAATAAGCTAATGACAACGAGACATGCGATCGCCAAGAGAATTAATACATATTTCAATATAATACATTTTGATTGACATCCGATAAGTCTTCGTCGTTTTCGATAATAACTAAAATTTGATTCTTGTACGAAATCTAAATCGATCATCTCCGATCGAGTCTGACACCAAACTTGAAAGACCTACGACTGTTTGGAGCACTTTGTTGATCGAAAAAAAATGTACTCGATAACGATTGCACGATTGACAGAAATCTATGACATTTCAAAACCTACGCAGAAAACGGAAATATTATACTCTGCTATTCTTTTCCAATCACTGAAGCGTGACGCTGCGTAAATATTACGTCAAACGCTCCAAGTTCACATGCTGAAAAACGTCAATTAATGAAAATGACTCTTTTTGCACACCGAAAAACAAAAAAGTAAACGTACTGCGTGAAACAACGCATTTCCAATTTCTGTGTGCACGACATTGATTGATTATGTTTGAGCTTATTCGCATCAAGATTTGTTCACGAAGAGATCGAAGTTGTCGAATGAATTCGGTGCGAAATAACTTCGAATTTAAGCAATGCACATAAAAGTTGATCTGTGGAAAGAAAATATGATTGAGATAGTGTTCATTTTTAGACTCTCCAAAGTCTTACTTCATAGTCCGAACATCGCAGCTAACTTGTAACGATGAAAACTTGGAACATGTTTGACCATAACTCGTGAATAAGCGTAAAGATAGGGCAATCATCTGAGCGATAGCAAGTGGCAACGTGATTAGAAGAAAAACTACAACAGCTGAAAGCATAAATACAAGCATTTGATTTTGCTCATATTTTCAATGCTGTATATCAAGGTTAACTCGATGAATGGGATTGATAGGTGTTACTGGTCGCTTACATTTACGTATAATGATAGTAACATCTAGCCTAGGAACAACCATGATTACCGCTGGTATCAATGGACTAATCTATATACCTAGAACAAACGCTATCCATTTTATTCACCACATAAGATAATCCGGACTACCATGTTTAATGGTTCATTGAAAATAGAAGAAAGAAAAATACTCCAAATTCATAAGACTTGGCGTACAATCGATTTTTCGAACTCTGAAGTCACTACAGGTAAGTGAAGATCAATGTCTATGATGAGAACTACAAATATCGTCAATAGAGTTCTTCCTCGGAGTGCACAGCGAAACTGATTTGAATGAAAATCGAGTCCGAATCCATTGACCGAGTAGAGCTAGTACCGAAATTCAATAAAATCAAATAAAAAAATAATAAAACAAACATGTTGAAGACCAATAGCGCAAGAAAGAAGCATCCAATTGAGCTATTTCTCAAAAGTCGACCGTGAAAAGGTGAATAAACTAAACAATATGTATATATCGAAATATTCACGTACACTTTATTCTTTACTTTTTCAATGTTTGTCATAAAAACTACGTTTAGAGTGTACATTATAAGAATTGTTAATAACACTCTTCGAAATTATCATAAAACTTAAAACTGCATGACCCGAAGTGTTACTTCTCCATTTCATTATTAAATAATGATGAAGATAAAGTAGTAGTCCGACGATAATAGACTTGATTCATAAAAAAAACATAGAAGAATCTTCTGTTTACTCTTTATTGTAGTTCAATACTATATGTGATCAATTTCATTCTATTTAAATAAAAATTTATGTCTAGAAAAATTGCTGCTTAGCATATTCATTACCCAGATAAAAGTACCTGTTAAATAATATATTTGACACTATCGTATAAAAGAAAATTTGACGATTACAAGATTAAGCAAAAATACGTGATTTATTGTCATTCAGCTCGATTATTATGTTTCTTCTATCGTTTCTAATATCTATTCAATTGCATAAACTTACGATTTAGTTAGTATACCAATCAAAATATCATTTAATTTGCATAAAAACAAAACAAAACCGAGCATGTTTTAAATATTTGTCGCAATAGAATATCTAGGTGTAATTATATTATTCATTAGAAGATAAGTTTCATTAGAATAAAAAGTAATAGAACTAATAATTTTCAACCCTTCCGGATTGTTGCTCACTCTTCATTATGTCTAATGACAAAAAGAAACGTGTTGAAATCAACCTAGGTATATATGTTCTGTTTGAAGCATCATTTCTGGTTAATGAATTTTTCCTTTGAGAGACTTCTCTAATTAAAAAGACTAGCCTAGGTACGTGTTCTGTCGCATTCATTCTACAACTGATACTTTGCAATTTCTTTTCTTATTATAATGAACATTTCATTCGTAAATTCAACGGAAACCATTGTCGGTTTCGAAACGCCATGGACAAGAAATATCAAATTCTTTCTTTTTGTGGCACTTGAACCGCCAGCACTGCTTCTGAACAGTGTTCTTATCTTCTATCTCGTTGCTGATCGAACACTTCGTGGAACTCTTCAATATCATGCCGTTTTAGCATTACTCATCGTCACTTTTCTCACCAACTCTATCGAAGTACCACGCATCATTCATTATCTGCACTTAGGCATTGTTTTACCACAAACCGATCTCAACTGTTTGATATGGCAATGTTGTGATTATCTCTTGTTCAGCTCTGTTAATGTTCTCATGTGTTGGACATCGATCGAACGATATCTCTTCATTTTTCATAGAAATCTCTTCACAACTGCCAGAGGTCGACTGTTATATCACTACATACCATTCGTGGTCATCATTGTCTATCTCGCTCTCTTCTACATTGGAGTTATTTTCATCTATCCATGTGATGCACAGTTCGATTTCAGTCAACCACTCTGTGGATTCCCATGTTACACTACACAAGCAGTCATCTCATTCTATGATCTGTTTGCTCACAGTTTCTGTCCGATGTTTGTGGATGTTTTACTTAACATAGTGCTGATCATTCGTGTGCTGTATCGAAAACGAGTTGGTCTCTTGCAACAACGCCACCACCATCACGCTAAAGAATGGCAACAAAATTGTAAAATGATAGTTCAACTACTGTTCATCACGTGTACATATTTGATGTTTCAAGTGCCTTTTGATGTGATAGTGATGCTGCTGGTGTTTGTTAGTTTACCGGAATGGATAATTCGTGTGCAAGCGCTGTATTTTTATTATTTTTTCTGGTTATTGACATTAGTTTTACCACTCGTGTGCATGATATGCTTGCCAGAAGTGATGAAGAAAATGAAGACTTCTTTATCACAAAGATTAAGGCGAGATAATACAATATCACCTATGAATCTAACTCGACGTTGACATTAATATTAGCTAATAAAAAATAAACCAGCTTAAATACAGACGGTATATCGTAAAAGTCACTATTTGCATAGAAATGGTATCGTAATCGAATTTTTGCAAGAGATTGTTCTGTTGAAACATTTGTTTGATCTAAACTAACCTTATATTTATTTCCGACGTATCTAATACGTTTTTCTGACTTATATGTTCAATGTGTATCGTCTCCAATTGATACGGATATTAAATCTCGCTTTTCACTCTTAAATTCGCGGTACCATAATCTGGTCAGAAGACTGCCTACTCTCACAATAAGAGAGAAGATTTTTCTTTTATTAGCTTGCTATAGACAATTGACTATGATACGCGGAGAAGTAGTATAGAATAAATGAGAGGTTCTTTCCATTTTTCACGACTTCTTCACATGGGGCGATTATTAATCGTAAACAGGATTTTGAATCGTCCGCGTCTATCTGATAAAGCATCGAAAAATAAAATTAAATAATTCATACTGGGGAAAAATCTCAACTATTATATTTTTACCCATAATCGAATCTTTAAGTGACAGTATGTTGGAAAGAAGGAGAGTATATTATGACTCTTATCAAGCTTTTTTCTCTACCTATTGTGCAAATAAATACAGCAGTATACAAGAAAGCCGATAAAGCACTCAATCGTTGTGTAAAGCACAAGAGGGATTGCATGCGATAACCATATGGCTGTGAACAATAGTACAACTGATAGTAGGTTACAGATATCTGTAAATACTGGTATTTCAATCAAATTTATTTTGTATGTAGATCAAAAGGTACGAAAGGCTCTCCGACGACAGACAGAGAGCGATGAGCTAGTTCCGCTACCGAAACTTTCGGATGAATCAACTGACAGAAAGCAATTTAGTAATAGTTCGAACTATGAATTATTATCTAGCAAAACGCAGGAAAAGCCCGCTGTTTTCAATACTACAGTTGGAAATGTTATTCCAAATGATGATGTTAATCGACCAAAAGCCCAAAGTTTAACGAAAATGCAATCTCAATATATTGTTCAAGTATGTAATCTGAACAGAGCGATGTTTATTGATGGAGAAAAACCAAAACACAGCTTCGAAACAGTCATACAAATGAAAGATGATGTAAAGCTAAAAGCGCTTGATTTCGATATAATGAGCTTTGATGCACACGTTACATACACTGAACGAGCTAGTGCATACGTGGAAAATAAATTAACCGGTGCGGATTTAAGTTTATCTTGTCCATTCATTGCGGCACCCGTTGAGGGTGAGAAAAGCAAAAAGAATGCCTCTACAAGTCGAAAGAAGCAGGTTTACATAACGTGCACATGGGATTGTCCACGCATGCGAGTGAAAATCGATGAAGATCGTTTTGAACCAACACGCATATTTCTAAATGAAGTTGATCGAATATTAGGTTTGCCGATAGAAGAACAATATGGTCAGTTTGAGAAACTACATACTAAGTATGGACATAAAATTGCAACAGAAGTAGTGATTGGCGGACAGTTGTTCCATACGGATGTAAAAAACCAAGACAGTGTGGTCGACGTATCAAGTCATAAGAACAATCTGAAAGCAGCATTTAGTGCATCTATTACCAAAGTACCAATTACTGATGAATTAGGTATGACAGTTAAAGGTGGAATCGGAGGTGGCAAGCTGAGCGAAAACCGATCACACAATGAGAATGATATCCAAATGATGCATTTTACATTTAGAGCAACAGGTGGAGATACAGTTTTATGCCAAGAACCAGGAAAATGGATTGCAACTGTACCTGAATATCATAATTGGCGAGTAATTGCTATTGAAAAGCTTGAGCCTCTATATAAAGTCTTGGATGATGAACGGCAACGAAAAATCGAATTGGCATTACAGCACTATAATACAGTTAAATTAGCAAGCGAACGTTCTTTAAATGATTCTTGTGATATCGTCAAACTGGAAATCACTCTGATAGCTGACGATAGATTAGTGTTTAGACAAATATACCAGCTACTTTCCACAACCTTTCCACTGGTAGTTAGCCAAACGAATGAAATCCACACCGGGACTGATTTTTTGAAAGGTACAAAACTGTGTTATTATGGTACAGCACCTAGAATCTTGAGCTTTATTGAGACGATGGATGTATCTACGGATTGCCCTCGTATGATTTTGGATATCTTTTTACCGCATTGGAAAGATCTCAGTGATGCTACTATAGAACTAATTCATCGAACGCTCAAATTTGAAAACACAAAAATCGACACTAACATTCATATATCATCATACAAGCAAGTTTTAACAAAAAATAACGACACATTTTACATCGAATCTGAACTTCAAGATGAAAAAGCAATGCAGAATGTATGGAAACTACTCAAACAACTAGATACACTTACAACAATGATCAATGACCATACTATTGATTTTTTTCACGATCTGAACGTACTGGCTGTGGCACTGAAAACCAATACAACAGTTGAAACACTAAATTTGTCGAGTTGGATTTTGAGAGAAGAACAAGTGACTGCACTGGCTCAGTCAGTTGAAGTGAATAAAACCTTGAAAAATTTACAGATTTGTCTTGGTTGGCATAAAAATAACGAGCATTTATTAGCAATCACAAAAATGTTAAAAAACAATCGCACATTGACAGCTTTAGGCCTTCGGGTATGTTGTGAGAAACAAGTTTATGGTATTATGGAAGGTTTAAAACTGAATATAACCTTAAAACAACTGAGTTTCAAAATATTTTACACAAAAAATGTGATGCTTGAAAAGTTATGTGAATCGCTGAAAACTAATACATCACTAGAAAATTTGAGCTTTTACCGTTCTGGAATCGATGATTACACTATCAAGATACTGGTCCAATTTCTTAAAACGAATGGGACATTGAAACGTCTTACAATCAGAGTCAGCCGTATCACTGATATAGGAGTACAACTATTGTTTGATGCCTTAAAAATCAATGAAACGTTAGCAATACTTGATATCAGTCACAACAAAAGAATGATGAATTTCACGTTTACAATCCCGAGGGATGGCATTCAAATACTTTGTGAGCCCTGGCTACCGCCATCAAAGCGTCCAAATAAAAATAACCATATTGAAGAAATTCGTTTTTTTGCTGCATGTCATCGTTCTTCACATTGATTTGCATTGATATATTTTGGATTATTTCGTTGTAAATGTGGTTAAGAATACAGAAAACATACGACTATAAATATAATTGCTTTTTATTTTCAAGAGGAACCGACACTACTGAAAGAAAAATAATAAATTGATTCTATTAGAAAACGTGCATTACAGACCGATGAAAATCAAGGATTGGCTAGCGCATATACTTCACTAGCATTGAATGCACGCGAATAGATTCGAAATTCATCCATCAGTCCATGGTATTGCGCGGGCACGACGGCACCCGACGAACAAGAACAAAGAGTTGTATTACCACAATGTCCAACTATTACAGTAACAGGAGGCGAAAGTGTTGAATTTGACAATGTCGCAGTACTAATAGCTACAAGCGAACCATTGACATACAAACGAATACTACCATTGGATGAATATGTGTGTGCAATATGAATCCAGCTATTTGAGCTAATAACCGGTCCATGTATAGTCAAGATTTGTGTTGCATTCCATGATTGAGCAACAAGTGAACCCGACGAAGTGAAACCAAGGATTGGAATACACCGTATTGTTGCCGCAGTTGGCATATACATATGAACAAGTGTCCCGTTTTGTGTCGAATAAGGATAAATCCAAAACGCAAATGAATATGGCCAACCTGTAGTACCAAGTAATATAAGATTATTTATTTGTATGTACGATGCTGTTCCGTTGAAGACAATTGCATCGTCTACACGTCCAGCTGTGAAAGTCGTATCGATTCCAGTGCCATTAATCAAATTAGGTCCAGAATCGAGTAGATTCTGATTGATAAAAGAATAGTAAACAACAAGAGTAGCTGTGTCTAAGATTTCGCTGGCACTTTTGACTCGTGTCACTATTGAGAGCTGATCAATCAAGCCTCCATAGTACATGCTAAGGACTTTTGCTCCACCAATAATTAATGTAGTATTCGGTGTTCCTTGGAAAGGAGATACTGAACTGCAATTTGTATCAAGATATCCATTAACGTAGAGACTCATTGTGTTCGACGTATAATCGTAAATGAAGGCGAGATGTACCCAAGTACTACTTTTGACACTTCTCGAGCTTCCGCAATCCGAGTAGTACAATGTGAGCATCGGTTTACCACTACGAAGCAGTGCTTGCAAACACCTATAATTAGGTGATGTTGTTTGACATATGACCACAAATGGATAATCATTAGTAGACATTCCCGATGTTGGATTAGCCCACAGATCTATGGTGAAACTTCGATTACGAAGGTTAACATAAGGAGTCGATACCATCACGTAAGATGTTGCTGAGTAAGTCAGAGACAAAGCTGCTCCATAACCAGTAATACCAAGGGCAGAATATGTTATGCTGCTGAAATTAGTAGTGTACACATTGCTCAGATCTTTGGCACTATTATCAAAAGGCCAAAAAATTGAAATTACAGGCACTGAACTTGCAGTGGTAGCTAAAAATATTCAAAGTGAAACACGAGCAGTTGTGCAAATTTATTCAAATAGAAAAACTTGCCAGCATTATACAAATTGGTAGTAGCCGGTTTTATTGTTGTTGTTGTCGCAGCAGCATTTGTTAGAACAGTAGTTAACCGTGTTTGTGTTGTTGAGTAGTTAGTATTCACGCTTGTGACAGGCGGTAATTGGCGAAAATAGAATGTGCTATTCAAATCATTTTGTACACTATAAATGAATGAAGACGAATAATTTGTGAATAGTGCACATGTATCATTTTGAGAGTTATAGTTGAAACCTTGAATATTCTGGCTCGATGTTACTAAGATACAGATACATGTGTAATACGTTGTATTTATTATTGTTCCAGATGGTACTACACGAACATTTTTGATAACGCCTACTTGTACGCTATTTGCTGTAGACGCAAACAAAACAAGTAGAAACGGGAGTAGACCTTCGATATACATTTGAATTTAAGAATGATGAGAACTAGTTTTTTGAAACTTAATTATCAACTTCATTTCTCTGTTGAGTATTTGTCTGCCCAGAAAAAAAATTAATTGAATTCTTTATCACACCCTTCATTCTCGATTTCTCGAGCATATTCAATGCGCACTTTTACGTATTTACATAATAACTATAGGAAAACAAAGCAGTGTGTTCGGATGTTTGCACAAAAATTCTTGAAAACTAGAACGTTTTGTCATTGAACTTTTTCTGCGTATATTCAAGTGATTTGGCCTTCATAGAATAAAACTATGAAATGGAAGGTGTTCATGGACTCCAAGGCGTTGCAGATTTGTTTTGTCAGCGAGTCTGAGAACATATCATCGCGGATACGTATATAAAAAAACGTTTATCCCGTTTATTTCTCACTCCTAGTGATTGCGAAATTTCTACCACTATGCGTGTGTCATAAAAAGGAAAATGAATGTTTGCCTGGTATTATGTAATTACCATCATTTATATGCTAACAAAGTTACTTATTTTCGTATGTATTCTTCAACTTCAAACAAGTAGGATAATAAAGATAAGTAGTAAGAAAATGCCAGATATTGAATATGATGGTTTTGAATTTTATTCCAGTCAAGATCCGTTTGAACTCGAGTATGTAATTGAACAGTTTGAGTTTCGGCGATGTTGGAAATCGAAAACGAAAGGAAGAAAATCTTCTTTTTCAATTTCATCGAAAACCGCTCGGTCTCAATCGATATCTATCAAATTCCACTCAGTTAATTGTACAAAGAAGCCATCTGGAAATAAAACAAGAAACCAAAAATCTCGTATACGAAATTCAAATAGATTTGGATGTGATCAACAATTACAAGCTAAAACAAAATCCAATTCGACGACATTAACCGAAGAATCTAAACAAACTTTTTCCATTTTTCGTCGTCGATTCTATCAAAAATATCGTGATGCCATCAAAGCTTCCCTCAAAAACAATTCTGATATCAAAATAACCGACATTCGCCTCGCGCACGTGAATAAATCAGTTCAAGATGATTTTATGAAAACATTGGCAAAACAATCCTCACATCACCCACAATTAGTTTATCATGGCACAAAATCAAATAATATCGAAGGCATTCTACAATATGGATTCTTAATTCCAGAAGTGCCACATCCAACCAATGCAGATGCACCTATAATTCAAATGATAAATGGCGCAGTTCATGGCACAGGAGTCTATTGCAGTTATACTGCTGATTACTCTTTGTATTACTCGGACGATATTAATACTCTATTGGCATGCGCCGCTATACCACATCAACACACGAATGGGCGTATTCACCGTCGTCATGGAAACATTTTAGTTTTATCGAATGTATCACAAATTGTACCATTATTCTTAGTGGATTTTGAGTTTCAAAACCGATCTCAGATGAACTATCCTTACTTTAAACAACATCAACTCGATGAACATGACGAAAGAAAACGACGAACTGTTTGTTTGAGAAAGTATTTCCAAAAAATTTTAAATTATCTGAATGATCAATCACGGAGTCAAAGTCGATATCAACTACGAATAGTTGATTTCCATGAGTAGCACACATCTGTTTTTTATTATTCAGTTTCTAATAAACATGTCACCATCATTCTCGTATACAAATCAGTTCGTGTTTATATAATTTCCAATCTATAGTTTGACATTCTTCTGAACAATAGCGTGCTCGTTTACAATCACCACAACGGTATGATGCATTCGCTTGTCCACAACATCGACACATATTAACTACATATTCATCTTCACTTTGCATCATAATTGATGCATATTCATCCACGCGAATGATGGGTTTCTTATCACTCGCACCTATTCGTAGATATGGGTTAATAATATTCATTTTACTTCCAATTCGAAATACTTTTTTAATTAGATATTCTCCTTGATCTTCAGGAAAGCCATAAATGCAGATTTTTTTGCAATCGCGATGCTCATCTTCTGTCACCAAGTGAATTGACGGTGCCCATCCATATGCTTCTCCAATAACAGTTACCGACAATACATATCGTTCGTAGACATGATCCTCTGTTTGATTCATTTCGCGAAATGTAATCGGCATTAACCCAATCAATGATTTAGCTGTTCGTTGAGAAAACCGGCCTCCCTGTGTGACATTTCCCGAAGCAATAACGTTTTTGCTTTTCGATTGTAACAAATGATTTTGCCATCGACGCTGTTCAACTATAATTTCAATACGAGCCGGATTTTCTAGTCGTGTTTCGTTTTCAGCACGATGATTGGACAGCTTTGTTTTGATTGTAGAAAACAATTCAAGCTGACATTTGACGAGATCTTTAATACTTGGATCATAAGGTAAAAAGCATGGTAATTGCAGTTTTTCTGCTTCTTCACCTTGCTCGTACATTTCCGTAGCTTTTTCTAAATTTAGACTATGTTCTACCTCGATATAGCACATAGCCATGGCATAATAAGCATCAGGGACTTTTCGATGATCCTGTGGTGCAATTGCAAGAAATGTGCGATATGCTTGGATTGCTTCGTCCATATCGTTTCGTAACAAACGTAATGCACCAGCTCTATCGTACAGTAAACCACAATGATGTGGATCTATTTCCAACCCAAGATTAGCATTATACAACGCTTTGTCATATTCTCTTAAAAAACCATGTTTTGCGGCGCTTAATTCAAAAAAATAAAATGATTTCGGATACTTTTGTTTGCATGGACCAAGAAAGGTATTAACTAGTGTATGCGCATCCGAATGTATACTTCCATAACATGTTCGGGCATCTTCGTCAAGTTGTGAGACAGACGAACCACATCGGCGAAGAACGCGGTCTACAAGATCTACAACCTTATCACGTATATCTAAGCTTGGATACGAGGCAGCAACTATATACTCAAGACGATAAGACTGTGCAAGGTTGTGTATAATCGAATTCTCTTCATCTTCTGTGAATGAATTCTTCTCCGTAAATGGATAGATTGCTTCTATAAAATGTTCCTGAGCATCGCACATGATTTTTGCTGTTTTCGAACCACGATTAGCATGTTCTAATAAGGTGCGGTATTCGTAGAGAGTTGATTCATCCGATGCTGTCGAGGAGGATGTAGTGTTCTTTATTGAACTGAACAGTTCGAATATCTTATCCTTTATCTGCAACATATCTGGCGAAAGTTGATTGTAGATACTTTGTTTCGCTTCTAAGTCTGCTTCAAATCCATGATCGGCTTGAGCAACGATGTGACCTGCATCACGGGCTCGATTGTACCATATCTTTGCCCTTTCAAATTTAGCTCTGCGGCTAAACAAAATTGCTAAATTATACATAGCATTGGAATCACCTTGTTGAGCGGCCTGCTCATATATATGTTCAGCTTTGTCGAGATCCAATATGACACCACTGCCATTTTCATACAATGAAGCTAA